TCTGAATAAACAGTTATTAAACACAAATCTTTTTGAATATGGTTTATTTTCATCAGCATTTATTATAGCAGAAAAGCTTTCACAAGCAGTTTGTGCTGCATTTTGGAAACAAGTGATGAACCCCTGGTATAATGCGCCACCTGACTTGAGAAACCTGTTCAAAGACTTACATTAAAATATTATTTCGGTAGCACACACATATCATTCTTATCCTTTTTTTTATTATTATCCTTATCTTATGTTGTTATTATTATTATTATTATTATTATTATTATTATTATTATTATTATTATTATTATTATTATTATTATTATTATTACTATTATCTTATTGTATTCCTACCCTTATCTTATTTTATTCTTTTCCTTATCTTATTTTATTCATATATCTTTATTGGATTTGCAATGTTATTTTTCTCACTTCTGTAAACAGTTGCACTGCAAGGGATTAATAAAGTGTAAGGACTCAAAACAGAAGACCCAGAATTCAGGCAAGACAGACAAGGGAATAACTAAAAAGCGTTTATTTAAACAAGCGGGTCTGAGGAGGCAGCGGCTAGGGCATCTAAGACAGAAACGTGTATAGGAGAGAAACACAGGATAGTGACCATGATAATCTGACGGAGGATGATAATTAAAGCATGAGTCACTAACCTGGTTTGACAGTTCAGTCCGTGCCCAGAGTCACGAGGCAGTCAAGAGGCAGATCCAGGTTCAGTCCACAGAAGAATCCAACAGGAGTCCGGAGACAGGTCAGGCAAAACGATCAGACTGGGGCAGGCAGGTTCAGAAGTCAGAATACAAAAACGGGTTAGGATTAGGCAAAAAGAACACTATTAGTACGCTAAAAAAAACTCTCTACACCAAAGGCTCATCAAGCTCATCAGGCCAGCTTGCTGAGGTGGTTTTCTGCAGGTTTAACAATCCAACAGGTGGCAACAGAAGCAAAATTCCAAGATAACAAAATACTAAAAAATAAAAATCCATGAGACATCAGGGGAAACACACATGAGGGGCAAAGAAACAATGAGGAGTCCGCAAAGAGACTGACACAAGAGGGCAACAGAGGGTAAACAAGAAATACATAAGAACACAAATACAACACAAACCCAATGAAAACTTATGCACAACCAAATCCATGACAGTGCCCCCAACGTAAGGGAGGATACCAGACACCCTAAAAAGTAAAAAAAAACAAACAAATCCAATAGTACTATCTGCGCTGCGCCTGCCTGAGTACAGATTGCTCATGGATGGACTTAATGGAGAACTTTACAGTCCTCGCCATCACCTTCATAGCAGTCTGTACTTGGCGCTGAAACATTGGTTTGGACTGTGTGGAGAAACAGCCGAACCACGGCGTAATACGAAATGACACTCTCCATCACTGCCTAACAGAATAAAAATATGATGTTTTGACTGACGGCAAACAACCTCAGTCTGTGTAAAAAACACATCCTTGGCTGTAAATGGGAAATTATGTAGTCAAAATGATCACCCCATTTTTAAAGGTTATCCAGGTGTATTCCCAGCTACCTATATGCGGTGACCTATTTGATCTCCTCCCTGTGGACGAGGGATCTCTGCTGACAACCACAGTCTAAACTACTAAATTGGTGATGGACAACTGGATCTTAACAGCCAATTTAGAGGTCCAGCCTTGGTAGAAGCCTAAAGAATCCTGGTGAGTAAGCAGACTTCAGTTGTAATCACTTAACTAAAAATTATAATCCCAGTTACCTAATAGATCCATAATATAATGGTAAAATATCACAACAGCACACGGATGGTGATGATGAGAGAGTGAGGAGCTGCTGAGCGCTCCATTGGGGCGGGGTGTTGGGCAAGTCAGAGCTTTCAGAGTTTAGCACACACAGCCATGGTACTGAATGAGCTGTGGAGTTACTGTAGGAAGCTGAGGCATTTCTTGCAAGTGATAAGGTTCAAATTTATTAGGGGTCCTTGGATGGAGAGATAGGGTTCTCTGACTGTGGCAAGCTCAGTACATACTTTTACGTACATCAACTCCCAATTCACACAGTCTCTATTGGAACTATCCCACTCCTACATAAAGAACTTTCTCACACACGAACATTTGGAGGAAAAACAACTTGAGTTCATCAAGGCCGTTCTCTATTAGATTAATATATCTTTGACTGGCCAGATCGATCTTCTCAAAACAGCAGCCTTTCTCTTCATGCCATGAAGGAGTGTCATGGTTTTGGTTATGGTGTGCTTTACTTTGCTCCTTTTCTAGTTTTATTGGTTTAATTCCTATTTTGTTGTAATTTCTAGATTTATGTTAGTTCTCATGTTTTTCTGCTGTCCTCTATTGCCCTCTTGTGTGTGTGTGTTCCTTTCCCCTTGGCTCCCTCGTTGTCTCCTCACACCTGCTCCTTGTCAGCTCGTTAGCCCTCCCTTTGTCTCTGTCAGCAATTTATGCTCTCCCTCTGCTCTCACTCTTTGTTGGTTCCTCTGTTGTTGCTGGTCCTGTCATCGCTGCAATCGTGTTGCTGGTCCTGTCATCGCTGCAATCGTGTTGCTGGTCCTGTCATCACTGCAATCGTGTTGCTGGTCCTGTCATCGCTGCAATCGTGTTGCTGGTCCTGTCATCGCTGCAATCGTGTTGCTGGTCCTGTCATCGCTGCAATCGTGTTGCTGGTCCTGTCATCGCTGCAATCGTGTTGCTGGTCCTGTCATCGCTGCAATCGTGTTGCTAGTCCTGTCATCACTGCAATCGTGTTGCTGGTCCTGTCATCGCTGCAATCGTGTTGCTGGTCCTGTCATCGCTGCAATCGTGTTGCTGGTCCTGTCATCACTGCAATCGTGTTGCTGGTCCTGTCATCGCTGCAATCGTGTTGCTGGTCCTGTCATCGCTGCAATCGTGTTGCTGGTCCTGTCATCACTGCAATCGTGTTGCTGGTCCTGTCATCACTGCAATCGTGTTGCTGGTCCTGTCATCACTGCAATCGTGTTGCTGGTCCTGTCATCGCTGCAATCGTGTTGCTAGTCCTGTCATCACTGCAATCGTGTTGCTGGTCCTGTCATCGCTGCAATCGTGTTGCTAGTCCTGTCATCACTGCAATCGTGTTGCTGGTCCTGTCATCGCTGCAATCGTGTTGCTGGTCCTGTCATCGCTGCAATCGTGTTGCTGGTCCTGTCATCGCTGCAATCGTGTTGCTGGTCCTGTCATCGCTGCAATCGTGTTGCTGGTCCTGTCATTGCTGCAATCGTCTCCCCTCGTCTCTCACTGGCTCCTTCTACGTGTTTTCCCTTGATGTCTCCATGGTTCTGGTCTGTTAGATTTTAGTTGGATTTTTGGACTACCTTTGTTAACCATTTTCATAATTAAACTACAAGTATTCACCTCAGCCTCTCTGCCTCTGCATTTGGGTCCTCCAAACCTCAACCAAGACGTGACAAGGAGGCTGTGTAACTCAGTCTTATCTCTCATGACTTGGTTTGGAGCCTGTAAAGCTAAGAACATACATATCTTAAGAGTTTTTACGCCACCGAGCATCTGTTAGATGTTAATGCTACAGACCATTCTCGCTGGCTCAAAGATTATGACATATTATAGCAGGGAGCAGATGTTCCTATTACCGCATACTGTTCAAAATATTTTATTGTTATGCAGTACTGAACAGTTCTGGCTTAGTGGAATAATAATATTCCACAATTATACAGCACTAATACGAATTCATGTTTTTTAAAGAATTATACATTATGTGTGTGTGTTTTTTCTCTGCAGTCATCTAGGAGAATTCTATGTAATTAAAGTTCAACTGCTCAACCAATTTAATGTTTATATTATATAGAACCATAAATTCATTTAAAGTCGTAGGGAAGCAGCTGCTCCAACCGTTGCATTTCTGAATTCTTCCAAGTGGTGCCCGACTTTACATGAGTGAATAAAGTGAATGTGATTGGTTGTTTATCAAGGGGGTGGGATTGTTGTAGTGGAAGATCTGCAAGCATGTTTGGTTGTGGCCGGTGTCTCTGAAGCATTTTGCTAACAGTTAGCAACTTAGTGCTAGTAGACTCCCAATGGGAAATTAAATTTGGGAATAAGTAGCACTTAGAAATGACACTGTCAAGGAACGCTATGAACAGCAGAAACATGCAAGAGGAGGAGAGTTTTGTGTCGGAGGTCGTGGATGAGTCTCCTCTTTCATACATTTTTATTTAGAGGAGGAAAGCGAGATGAAGATGTTGTGGAAGAGGACGCCAGGGCGGCAGAAGCTTGGTTTGGTGTAGAAGGCTTACAGCAACGCTGCCAGTTCTGTTAGCTCTACATCTGCCGAAAACACTGGGACGGAACTCAACGGGAAAGGAAAGATTCTTAATTCTTATTTCAACCTTTGCATTTATTAGTTGAGACATATGAATCGAGATGCTATGACCGAAAAAAATGTGATTGACAGATGACTGTTGATATATGGTTGGCCGAATTTAGGTGTACAAGCCGACGTATAACTAACTTGCCTGCATAAAATACCAAAACAAACACAGGGTTTAAGAAAGGATTCTTTTTTTAAATAGAAATTTAAAAAAAGTAGTCTGATAAAGAGAACATTTACATACATATTAAAGCCAGATTGATTTGACATTCAAATATGATTTCCCTAAGGCTTTAAACAGCACCATTATATAAATATGTTTACAAGCAAGAGGCTTCATGAAAATCTTATTTCTTTAGTGATTTATTTATAAAATTTAGAAGTCTTGATGCCTGCCTTTAAAGGTCTTGTTCTTGTCTCTCTCTCAGTACTCACTCATGGTTAGAGGAGTCTTTACAACAACACTAGTTTATTGTGATCAGTATAGCTTGACTTGAAGTGGTTTCGGTTCATTCTAATCTATTAACAGACACAATACATTTTCATTGTCTAACACTATCACAAAAATGTAGCACATTAAGGCAAAACGTATTCACAGAGAAATGAAAACTCTGGAGTTCCCCTTGGTCCTGATATCTTGACTGATTTCTTTTCTTTCTCCCAGCGATCGCACCAGGAAGCAGTTTGATTTACGCGTCACCTTAAAAGGTACAACATCTGTCTCTATTATTAATATGAGCCTATTTAATGACACTTTCTCACAAGTCACAATGTTTAGACTCCATCCCCAAAGCTATTTAGAACACCTGTCCATACATATCTGGATTTCCCCAAATCTTTCTCATTTTTTGCTGTTTAGCTAATACTAGATTCCAAGAACCACAAGTTTTCATCCAAAAAAAGTTCAATCTTATTTAGAATTAGAAAGAAAGAAACGGTTATGTATCTTTATAGAGTGTGTACATGTCTTGATTTTTTCTTACTACTTAAGACTTTGTTATATTTATACTGTGATATATAGATATTTCTTTTCTAAACGTTAAACTGATAGGGTCAGTTTATGTTTGAGGCTTTGCAATGTAAATAAAGAAAATGGTTATTGGATGGATAACTTCTACTTGTGTATGTCATTTTCTCAGAAGATTCCACCATGGCCTCTCAGCTGATCCTCCTTATGCTGCTTATCATTATTGCAATCATGGGTGTCTACTTCATTTTGAGATGTGCAATACGTGAATTCTATGCTGGTATGTTCTAGTTTTTCAATGCATGGTATTCATTTCAAAATATTTGGCAGTAAAATAATGATTGAAAATCCTTTTAGATATAAGTGGATGATAAAATGTAGTCTAGACTCAAACCTATAAATACAAATTTCATTTGTTCAGAAAGGTCATGAGTATAATTGAAACGTATATCAGGAAACACATGTGTCCTATTACCAAAGATAGAAATTCATCCAAAAACCAGATGCCTGCTAAAACATATAGAAGACTCAAAATCTGTCATCTTTAGCATGTGTGGTTGACAGCAAAGTCCATGTGATGTAAATCCACTATATACACGGACAAAAAAGGTATGCCAAATCTTTTAAAAATGATCAAGAGGCCAGTACCACAAAGCAAACTCCACCCAGCCAATCCGGTGTAATGTATCCACAGCAATAATAGTCAGGTACCACAAAGCTAGTGATCATCTCGCTAACTTTCTCTTTTTTTTTCTCTTCAAGCTTTTATTGTCATTACACTGTGAAAAGTACAGAGCAACCAAATTAACTCTGTTATTTAACTCATCCCCTTGGGGAGCAGTGGGCTGCAATTGTGCAGCGATCGGGGAGCAGTGTGGGGTTAAGGGTCTTGCTGAGTGAGCCAGAGTGTCATTCTGTGGGAGTGGGTCTTGAACACAGAACCTCTGGATTCCAAAAACACAATGCCCTAACCACTAGTCCACATTCCCCACAAACGCACCCGAGCTTTGATCGATCATGAATCTGTTAACGCGCACCAACAAAGGGGCTGTTTCAAGGTAGCAGACCAACCAAGAATGGAGAAGGATTTGCACTGATTTGCACTGTATTTCTTGCCTGACGTAGTCCTACTCAATTCTAGTCAGAATATGAGTCTGATGCTGCTCCATAGAGCTGTGACTATGGGGCGTGTTTCGAACGAACCAGGAAAAAAAAATGCCTCTGCACTCAATTGGATAGACCTACAACCAATAAGAGCAACGGAGTGCGTGACGTATGTTAAGCCAGGCACAGTTGTTGTCAACAAAAGTCAAAGGGCCGGATCTATCAAAGGTTTGCGTGTATTAAAACGTGAGCTATTTCACTGCGCACGCTAAAAAATGTACAAACTGATCTATCAACAGCGTGCTAAAAGGATTTGGTCTTTAAAACGTGCTAAATAGCGCCTCTTATCCATTTAGTACTTTTTCTGCAATGAATATGCAATATGGGGCGTTTACACGCAAAAGTGCGTCTTGTGGGAGGAGAACATGTAAATATATTAATTTAGCACTCGCAAAGTGATTTATCAAACCTGAAAGCAATTTTGCTAACGGTATCTGACTCTATATTTAACACGTTTCAAAAGAAGGTGCAAATGGTCTGTATGCGTAATTGCGCACATGTGGCAGCGGTTATTGTCGCAAGAAAGAGACATGGAAATAAAGGCAGGAGACGCAGAGAACGCATTTTTTCACTCCGTGTGAATATTTTTGGAATGAACGAGGAAACGATCATCAAAACATCTCGTTTATCCAGCATTGCCATTTTGGAGCTGTTGGGGGAACTCTGAATGGATTTGGAGCCAGCCACAAGGAGGACCCACGCAATACCAGATATCACAGAACTCCTTGCAACATTGCACTTTTTTGCATCTGGGTCATTCCAGTGTACGGTTGCAGCGAGAGCTGGGATCTCCCAATCTCGTTTTTTCAGAAGTGCTGTCCGACGGGGTCGGGGTTCTCCCCCTGCGCCTGTGGAGCAACGTGCCAAATGCTGCGGGGATCTCATCCACAGTCACAGGCCAATACAAAACACCTGTTTGTTTTTTTTGTTTTTTTTACTGCAGCACGTACCACCTTAGGGAATAAAGGTTGCCAATTTTTATATATATATATATATATATATATATATATATATATATATATATTTACTTATTTTTTTTTTTGTTGGGGGTCACTGTAAGATTTAAATTTCTTAATGCACTAGTTTGTACAGACTACAAACTACTTTGCCGCAAACCACAAAACGCGCAAAACCATCATTTAAATAGGGCGTCTCCAACAGTTTTGCACCTTCCACCAGTTACGCAATCACTCTTGTTAAATCACCCGCAAACCATGGTTCAGCCCCTCGCGCAAAATTCCAGTTTGCGAGCGCAAATTACTGCACGCAAAATTGGATCTTGATAAATCCGGCCCAAAGCGTGCAGTTTCACGCCTAGAATAAGAAGATGAGCCTTGATCGCGTTTCTCTGTTCCTCTTTTAAAATTAATTTGCTGTCGATATCTTCTAGAACAGACCTAATAGCAGAATCTACTCACCTCAACTCTCCGGCGGCAGCCATTGTTGTTGTCACCCAAGCGCGCTTTGGTCACGTGGTTGATTACGTTACTGTTGATCATCTGTCCATCATCGTATAAAGCCCGCCCTGACAATTTGATTGGATCGCCTGACAGTGGGCGATAATACTCGCGCTACTATGGAGCAGAGCCAGACCGAACTTCCCAACCTCAAACCTTGTGGGCGGGACTAAGTTCGGAATGGCACCCAGGCTACTGTATTTCACCCGTGAGGAACAAAACCCCTTAATGGAAATTCAAACACAATGGTGGCAAAGAGAAATGACGTGGCAAAGGATGAGCAAGTAACAGATCAGTAACATTTAACACGGCATGCATCTCATCACTGTACTTAAATCGCATGTATGACAATTATCCTCATCCCCCAGGTGTAATCCCTGGGGAGTGAGGAGGACTTGGGAGCAGATAAAAGCAAAACACAAAAGCATAATTTCATCTGATAAGTTGGATTTTTTAATTCAGCATTTGGGCCAAAGTAAATTTGGAAGCTCATGCTCTGGTTGCATCCTATTAATACAAGAAAAGTGATCTGTCTCAGTGAAATCATCCTGATGTTTGAGTCAGTGACGACAAATGGTAATAATTGAGAATTTTTTTTAAAAGTCAGAAAACCTTAATATATTTAAATTATCGTCCCTGTGATGACTTGCAGATTTTTTCATTCCAGTATAGTGCAATACCAGGCAGAAAGAGAAATACATGATAATTTTCCATTTCACAGTAACATTAGAATACATACACACACACACACACACACACACACACACACATATATATATATATATATATATATATATATATATATATATATATATATATATATATATATATATATATATATATATATATATATATATATATATATATTTATGATTCCACCATACGTTTAAATAGATTCTATAATATTTCAGATCAGCTCAGCATTCAGTTAGCTTATTCTGTTTTTCATCTTATTAAGCATTTATTTACCTTATCAGAGCACACTCAGCCACAAGTTACCCAATCTGCATTGTGCCGCCTAATTTTGGCCACATTCAAATATTAGAAGTCATGTGGTATCAGGTGCTGGAACTAGCATTAAAGGGTTTTTCAATTCTGTGTTATTTTAAACTATTTAGGATTTTTTTTAAGTGGTAGTAGAATCAAATATATATAGAGAACAAGTGGATCATTACATATGTTGGATTGAAAATGAGAATAAAAGGAAATAAAGTTCAATGTCAGAAGCTTCAGGTCGGTGTCTTCTGTAAAATATATGGCAGCTGGGTGGAGAACATGACTAAAGTAAATTTGACTAAACTTGCCACTGAGGTAATTAAAGAAATATTGTCTTAAGGAATATTCAACAGTATTAGACAACAATAGAAACAACAACAATAGAAATGTTGTTTTTTTTTTTAAAATATGAATGAATTGACTGTATGTTTTCTTTTTCTGTCTTATTCCTGTGTCCAGCCCACCCGCTTTGGTGTTTGTTGATATTAGGTCCACCTTTGATTGGTTTCAGTCTGTTCCTCATCATGAACTTCCACTCCTTAATCCATTATGATCTGTAAGTCACAAACGCACCGTTTCACTATATTAAAGATTCACCAAAAGGTTTTTTGAGGATATTTGACAGATTTTCTTTGTTGGCACAAAGGTGACCAATTATAAGGTCAGAAAATCAGAGGATGAAGAAAGAGTGAAACTACTGGTCACTGGAAGCAATACTGCATGATCAATTATTTAATCATTTGTTGGTTTAATATATGTTAGTGTAATAATTTTATCACTGTGACTATTCACTTTATTGCCTTTAATAGTCAGTTTTATTGTTGTATTTTCTCTTATATTATGCCTCTGAAATGTACTTATCCTAATATATGTTTTGATTTCATGTACAGCACTTTGAAATGTCTTTATACTAACATGTACAAATGAATGAATAAACTAACCTTGCCATGATTAAAGCAGTTGTCTGCATTGTTTAATTTATCCAATGAAAATATGACATTTTTTATCTGGTGTGTATAGAAATGTCTCTAACTTTTCGGGTTGACATCTGTAACATGAGGACCCAATTAAAAACTTCTGTTTTAAAGGTGCTAAAAAGTCCATTAGAGTTACAATATGAAGAGGAAAGAAAACAAAAAAACAAAGTACTGGATACACTTTTTTTTCTATTCAAAGGACTTCTGCCTGAAACGTCTCTGTGTTTGATCAGCAGTGAATCATTTGGTTTTTGACAAAAAGTTCTTCTACTTACATCATAAAAATCTTATTTTTATATCTAATCTGATGATTAGAAGCTATAATAAGAATGTTAATGTTTTCTTGGATGACAAGGGAGCTTCACTCTTATTGTCGTTGTCATTTTCCACTTTATTTGGGACTGGATGTCAGCAGAGACTCTCAGACTTCCCTTGTTGCACATATGAGGCACTCCCAGGCCATCTTGGAGAAATCCATACAGCCTGTCCTCCCAAGGGAGGCCTCAAGAAGACAGCCAATAAAGATGTGTGAATCAGCTCAGCTGACTCCTCTCAATGAGGAGGTTAAGCAGCTCTATTAAGAGCCGCTACCAAAAGACCGACCCTCACTCTATCTCTAAAGCTGGGTTTATGCTTGAAGTACTTCCTTAAGGACTTATTATGTGTGACGCATGGACATTCCAAGCAGAAAATATTAATTAACTTAATCACAGGATCTATCTAGATGTTTACGTTTGCAAACCCTTACCATTTTCCAGTGCTGATCCTTTCCTTCTAGTTACAAATTTTCCTACGTGCTGCATGCAGAAATTCTGTCCGCACAGTCAGCGTGGAGGGACATAGAAACATAAAATTACGTAATTTTGCTGTGCCGACCTCGTGGATGCATCCAGCCACCATGTGGAGAAAGCTTATTTCAGCTGCTTCTATTCAGGATCTTGTTCTTTTGTTCATGATCCAGATTTCATGACCATAAGTGACGGTAGGAACGTAGACCGAGTAGTAAATTGAGAGCTTTGCCTTTTCACTCAGCTCTCTCTACAACACAACAGACCATTACAGCATTATAGAAGCAGCCGCAACAATCCTTCAATCTCTGTCAGAAGCTTGGAATGTTGGACCCAATATTTAGGCAGCCAGATCTGGATGATTTCAAGCAAGCGTTTATTTAAACAACGAAGTGTGCGGCTGCTCGTCAGCTGGGGCTGATAAACCGGATCCTCTGTAGAAATAGAAACTCAGGTTAGTGACTTAGAATAAAGGATCGGTCACGACTATGAGCAAAAGTCACTAACCTGGTTCTGAGTCCAGTTCGATCCCAGAGGAGGTGTTGAATCAGAATAGGAGATTTTTCCACAGCTTGTGGCGGGTTCTACACCCACAGTTCTGAGTGAAGAGCAGAGTTGACGCCAGCCGACACCGAGGGGCAACAGTGTCTGTGAGGGAATTTCCAGAGCCGGAGTCGAAGCAGAAACAGGTTAACAGACCAGAAGATCAGAGAGTCAAGGAGGTATCACAGGAGGATCCAAGCCGAGGTCAGAAGAAACCAGCACAATCCAGGAAATAGTCCAGATTAAACATGAATAACAGAGCAGACAAAGGAAAAACTCAGGAGTCCCAAAGGCAGAAACAGGTGAGGATTAGAAGATTGGAACAATATTCAGAACAGTAGAGTTACTCTCACCAAACAGTTTGAAAAAGATGAGCATACTGAATAACCGGGCCAATTAGACAGGTGAGAAGAGTAAACGTTGAAGCCAACCATCAGGGCTAAGACCATGACAATCTCCCTCTCCATTCTCCCCCCCTCTTGTAAATGGCTCCCCAAGATCCTTGAACTCTTCCATTTGAGGTGAGAACTCTCTTCCAACCTGAAGGGGACAAGCCACTTTTATCTGGCCATTAACCATTGCTTTGGAAATAAAGGAACTGGTGCTCATCCAGGCTGCATCACAATAGGCTGCAAAGCTCCCCTTTGAATCATTTAGGTCTTGGTAAGAGGGATTTTTGATATTTCAAACAAGACATATCACAAAACTAGATGAGAAACTACAGTAAATGTGTCAGAAGTTTCAGAACGTTGGACCCAGAATTCAGACGAGACAGACAGTAATAACTTCAAAGGTGTTTATTAAAAAGGTGGTGAGGCTGCTCATAACCTGAGGCAGGCTCACTGGAAACGCTGCAGGGATGGAGACTCAGGTTAGTGACTTCAGAAACTCAAAAACAGGGAATGATAATGAGCATGTAAGTCAACAATATGGTGAAGTTCTGTCTGAGGTCAGAAAAAGATGTAAAGTCCAGAGGAGCAAAACTCTGCAGCTTGAAACTTAGCCGGTACCAGAGATCCAGAGGAGAAGAGGAGCAGCGACTAGCAGCAACGAGACCTCCAGAAGGATGATCCAAGCCCGAGTTCCCGACGTTAGGCTAGATCAATTTAGAGTTGCGGATTTCAATCTGAGTTTGTTAAACCTACATATTGAAACGGACCCCTGGTCTACTTAAAGCTTTAAATTGCACCAGACAGGTGTGTGCAGCTGTGATACTGCAGCAGAATGTAAAATTAACCAGTTTATCTCCCTGTGTCTCTTATTTCTCCAGAAAACATAGATTTTTTTTTCCTCCTGAATATCATCTGTTCCTTCCTCTGCAGTGAGCTTGTTTTAAACATTCCCACAGCTGTACAACAGTATAATTGTTTATTCTAGTTTACTTTATCACTGAATGTTCTGTGTTTACAACAATGGTTGAAGTTTTGTCACTGGCTTTTGAAGTCAATTGAGAGGACATCATTAAGAAGATATGCCTGCAGAAAACAACAAAAATATCAAATTTTGACTACTTTACAGTGAAAACTGTTCAACTGTCTTGTTTAACGTTAAAGCATTATATAAAAAATGCTAAAACATTCATAAAAAAAAAACAAAAAACAAAAAAACATATAAAATGGCTTCAATGAAGGTTCGTCCATTGATGGGGTTATCCAGATATCATATGGGTAAAATATAATGATAGGATATGAAATAATAAAAAAATTAACAACCAGTAAATATTTACATAGACATACTATTTATACGGTATACATTGATAAAGACAGTATTGTAAACAAGTCAAAGGACACTTAACATTTTAACTTAGTATATACATCAAAAACATTGAAACATCTAAAAACGTACCAAATAATTGATTCCAGAAAAATCTATCAGGTTTTTAGATTTAGACAAAAAAACCTTCTAAAAAATAACAAAGCTTTATCATTGGAAAGGTAAACTCTCATCCTGCTCATGAGTTCAGGAATGTTGGGGATACGTTGCAGTCCATCATCAAGTATCAATTATATGTGCACTTTTTAAAATATTTTTTATAAATTATCATGCTGGTTCTCCTGCTATCAGCATCTCACTGGTTGTAGTGTTGAATAAAAAGTTGACTCATCACAGACATCTGAAAAAATAAAAATAGAAGATCAGTACTAGACAGAGGTAACTGATTCATATTCATATTAATAAAACTAAACAGAAGAAGTGCCGTCGTCCAATCAGCGATGTCTCATGTTTCCCACTGGTACCGACCTTTTCTGGTAGGTCAATGTAATTGTGTTTTCCTTAATGTAGTTGTGCTTTGCTTTATGTAGTTTTGTTTTTCTTAATGTAGTTGCGCTTTGCTTTATGTAGTTGCAATTTCCTTAATGTAGTTGCGCTTTTAGATTTTTAGTTGCAGTTTGCACTTCAGGGCCACCGTAGTGTTGTGTATTTTTTGTATTTTGAAAATACTGTAAAATACTTTCTGTGAGACACAGTCTGTGATGACATCTTACTGTCTATAAAGCAGAGATGGGAAGTAACGAAGTACAAATACTTCGTTACTGTACTCAAGTAGATTTTTCTGATATTTTTACATTACTTTACTACTTATTTTTATGGTGACTTTTTACTTCTACTCCTTACATTTTTACACAAATATCTGTACTTTCTACTCCTTACATTTTAAAAAATTGGCTCGTTACTTTAGTTTTGAATCATTTCAATGGAGTTACCGTTATTATTTTTCACGTAATCAATACCAAATTCAATCTAATTGGATGGGAATCTACGTTGCATTTGACGCACCACTACAAGATGAATCGACAGATTCGGCGGTATTCATTGGCGGCAAATCATTGCAGCTTGGTGGCGGTGGCGTTAGCATAGTAGCATGGACGACGAGATGATTGAAAATGAACACAACGGAGATCTAGTCCTATTGGCAGACATCCATTTAAAATGTAGGCAACGGCGTGAAAAAAGTGGTTTTTACTTTTACTTTTATACTTTAAGTAAAGTTACAAACCTGTACTTTGTTACTTTTACTTGAGTAAAGAAGTTTAATCAGTACTTCCACTTTTACCAGAGTATTTTTTAACACAGGTATCTGTACTTTTACTCAAGTACGGAAATTGAGTACTTTTGCCATCTCTGCTATAAAGCATGAAATAGTGTCTGTGGCACCTTATCAGTCAAGTCCCCGTGATACCACTCTCTGCCACTAGGGAATTTTGGCACATTGCAAGATCAACACAAAGCACAGGTGCTGCATATTAGATTGAGTCAGGTATCTCCTACTTGGTGCTTTTTCCGGAACAGTCAACGAAGTTGTTGCAAAGCAAGCTTAGCAACCAAATTTACCAAGGTTATTTCTGTATATATATATATATATTCTCAACCTTGAATCACTCTTTTAAACGCATGTTCCTGTTCAGTGTAACGTTCAGTGTTCGTAAGGCTAGGCTACTTAACTTTTGAATCTTAGCTGCTAACTAAAGCTACGTTCACACTGCAGGCCTTGATGCTCAATTCCGATTTTTTGTGAAAACCGATTTTTTTAAATTGCCATCCACATTTCCAAATATATGCGACTTGTATGTGATCTCCTGTGTAAACTGCATTCATAGGGCTTATGTGTCCCGCAGTAGAGGACGCAATGACGTCACAAGCCAGCGTGCTTCATGTTTATGGAATTAAACATGGATGTAGTGCTGGAGAAAATCTACCCTGGTTCAGCCAAGCTTAGATAGTGCTGTATTTCCTCCACAGACTCAGAATCTTCTACAAAGGCCTTGAAATAAATTATTCATTTGACTCACGTGTTGAAACAGATGAACATCAGCAACATGCAGAATATATTGCTTACTGTATGAAGGACTCCATCTAAGTAATTGGGTCCCTCTAAAACCAAATTGCTACAGTCAGAGCAAGCTTTTTTAAATATCTGTGTTTGTAGATAAGATGTTAGGGTTTAATAATAATAATAACCCCTATTGTCCTAAAAATGAAATCCAACACAAAGCAAGTGACTTTTCTGCAGAAAAGAAGAGAGACCAGCCAAAGGAAGAGACCCCTTGAAAAGTCTGTAGTCAACTCTGCTGGGACTTCCATTTCCCCTTCTTTTATTATTGGACTTTAAAGGAGTAACTGGAGGGGTCAGAAGTTATCAATCAACTGCGGCAGCATAACTGGATAAGATCAGGCCCTAAGAGAAATATTTGCTCTCTTCGTGAAATTAAAACAAACAACATTCCTAGCAGGTCAAATGCGTGTAACTTAGTACAAATAAAATGATGACATTTACATTTTTCTAACTGTCAGCCTTTAAACTGTTTTGTATTTATTACAATTTTGCTTTTTTATGGCTACCTTTTGTTAACATGACTTCCTTAGTTTTCATGCTGCCAATTTCTTCTGATTTATAATCAAACGTGTGGATTTTGGTGTAGTATATGATGTACTAGAAAGAAGAGATGACAATAAGACTGCACATCAAAATAGTATTTAAACCATATCAGATGGAGCCAGGTTTATTGAGCATTAATAGAATTAAGTCCAGTTTGTTTATATTGTTATAAACATCAGTAAGTCTCTAGTAAGCTGATCTCTTCAGTTTATAAAAAACACATAAACAAAATTAATTTAAATGTTTCTTAAATGCACTCACATGAAGTTCTCTGAGGTATCATTTCCATTGAGATGGTTACATCAGTGTAGGAGACAGAACGATCCAGTCTACCTGCAGAAATAAGTCATTGAGACACAGTAACAGTAATCATTATAGATTATAAATTTAGATCAATGTTATGCAACTATACATCTCATATAAGTCAAAACTATGCCACATGCAATAGAGCTTAATGATAATCAGTGACTGCATGTGTCACCACAGCTGTGTAACACAAATGCCTTGTATTATGGCTCCTACCGGGATAAATAATATTTGACCCGTAATATATTTTGCCATTCAGAGTGGTTAAAATAACTTTCCGCAAAAAGACTGAATTGCCTTAACACTGGAACTTAAAAAATAAAATAAAATATTTGTGTAAATAAATATCTGAATAATAATTAATTAGTAATAATCGATCAAAAACAGGTCAATAAGCAACATCCCATCCACAAAACTTTCACTTTTATTCCATACTGTCACATATCCGCCATATTTATCAACTTTATATTCCAAAAAAAAAACATATTTGACACTTAAATAACTTACAATGAGGGATAAAATAAAACAACATGCTATAGTAAATTAACTTTTATTTCTCTATATACTTGGTCGTCGAATCAGTATATTCAATACTAAGCAGCATGCAATGTTGTTTGAGATCCAACAGGTGTCAGTATAGAACAACATAGTTACAGGGAACCAACGCAGTGTCAATACAGTTTGGGGAGATTGCTGAAACACTTCATAAAGCCTCATCTACCAAGAACTAATTCCAAGCAATCTAATAAGATTTATTTAAAAGGAGTTTAGCAAAGGTTAGGAATTATTAACAAGATTATAAATGACCAGCATGTAGCTGCCCAATCTGGTAATTCATGGACAACATTTAGTTTTCTCTCACACTTGTTATTCATATATAACCTTTAAAATTATAGGCAAAGAGAAAAAATACGATATTTGTGGTCCTCAGCATCTTTAGACGAAATTTTTAGCCACTTAAAGGACTTTTCTCTGAAATTTCTTAGCAGTGAATCACCATCAATCAGTTTTTTCCAAGCATCGTGACAGGTGCTGATGTCACTTCAGTTAAAGGTTCCTTTACTGTGGAAAACCAGCAACATATTTCTTCAGAAAGTAGTTTTCTTTTTCATGTCAACTGGAGTGCTCACCCTCTGCTTAAACAGTGAGATGAACGTTGCCCTCCATAAGACAAAACTGAATGGGGTGCCTGTTAATGACAGGAAACTCTGGAACTTGTTTTGGACCATGTTATTTTGAAAGACCTTGGTGAGAGATAAGAGGTCATTACGGAGAGGTTAAAGAGTGTAGACTACAGAAACTAATGTCGTCGGCAGTGCTGTGCACAGACATTTTGGAGGGCAGTTGGTCAAGTAGAAGCAAAAGGGCACATTGTGTGGCGCATAGCACTGCTGTCTGTCCTAGCTGTGTTTATTACTGGCACAGCTTAAACGTCATGTATGCAGCCTGTTTCAAATTAATATCCCTATTCTGTCTAATAAATGCCTTTAATAATGTTATAAACTCGGACACTCTACAGCAGGGGTGCCGAACCTTTTTTAAACCAAGATCTACTTTGCATCATTCATCATCTGTTGTTGATGAATGATGCAGTGGTAGCTCGAAAAATCCGGTAAAGTTTCAGACAGCTTGAACAGAGCAACGAATCCAGCAGTACACCCAACCATAGATGGAGCCCCATTGGCTGTGATAGATTATCTCATTATCTCTTCAGATTCATCTTCGCACTTTAGAGTCCCTGGTAACACCCTAGCAAACGTGGCAAACCATGCCTAGCAATCAGCACGCATAAAAAAAGGTTCCCTGCATACTTTTTATTTTTCATTTTATTATTATGAAAATACACTTTGGCCTCTTGTGATCAATGATTTGATTATTTATTTATTTATTTTTTTACATTTCTTTTGGTCATAGCCATAAATAGGTCTACATTGTAAAACTTCTCGAGATCAACTTAAACTCCGCCCACGATCGACTGGTACATCGCGATCAACTGGTGGGGCACCCCTGCTCTACAGGTTGGTTTCATGAAAAAATTGGTTACAACAAAATGCAGTATAATTAATCATTAGTGTCTATAAAATAATCACTGCAAACTATTCAAGTTTTGGCGTGGGGTGAGCAGAGGTGGGGTGCTGTTGTTGTGCAAAAGTATAAAAGTTAGTGGTTTGGTACATTTTTGTCAATTATTGGCCACACACTAAAGCTACACTTTTAAAAAATGTATTCATTATTAGGGCACTTTTTTTGGTCCTGCGTAAAAGGGTAGGTGCTCTAGCACCACCTAGTCTCTATCTGTACACGTTCCTCATCATGGATGTGTTATTATCACCTCCATTTGTTTCTTTGTTAATGTTGTGGCATTTCCTTATGAATCTGAATTTTTGCCGTAGTTTCTCACATTTCTCTATTTGCTTGCAAATTTACATTCCTCTCTTGCTCCAACCTGGCAGGTTGAATTGACAGTTTGTAACACACTCATATTAGTTCTTTACATCACCAATCTATGCCTGTTTCCAAAGAAATCCTTTCAGAAGAGTAGAGTAGTTTGGCAAAACTTTCTGAGCTGATTGGGTGAAACTTCACTTTGTCACCTAGACCAAAATTTGGTTTTAGCCAATCAGGATGGTACATCTTAGTACCACAAAATGCACACAATGCTCTCTGTTCATTTTTTTTATTATTATTTCTGGATGAAATCATAAATTCTGATAACAACAAAAAGCTCCAAAAAAACTGATAAGATAGTAGGACCCGCATGCAGATCCATCTGCATTGTGTTAAAATGGAAGTTATGCCCCCCAGAACTTCCCTTCTGGTTCTTTTCCTGGGAGCAAGCTACCTGGTTTAATTACTCTTAACTCAAAACATGGTAAAACTCTATAAAATGACTAAAAAAATGAATAAATATTAAGTTTTTTTCCAGTTCAGATTGTTACAGGCCAGAAAAATTGCTTGGAGTCGGCACAGCTGTGGGCTCAAGTCTTCAGCATGCGACGGCATCCAGAAAATGAGCCCCGAACAAGGTCATTTCCTGCTTCTTATACCTTATGAGTCTATTTGTTGCATCAGGTGGATGCTTAGCTGGTTCTGTCAAAAACTGACATGCCATCCATGCCCGGACCTTTGTGCCTCTTGCCTCTACACCTCAGGTTTAGAGATAGCTCTTTTTTATCAGTCTGGCTCCAGGATATATCATTATCCTGTGCTTGCTGTACAGACAAAAAATTGTCCTTATTAGATGGTTTCTGTACACACAATGTGATTCACCATATGAAGGAAGGCCGTCCACCCCATCTAATGATTAGATTAGAGGAGCTTTATTGATCTCACAGCGGAGAAATTCACTGGTCACAAATTGGCATAATAATTAAAGAAGGTGCAAACAAAGAGGAAAAAGGTGCATTAAGAATAAACAACATATATACAGTATATCAAGATAAATAGGATTAAGGTGAAAGTGTACATGTATCTTGCGGCTAACCGATAAGTATTACACATGACTAATAAAGAATAAACCTACCGGTAACAGTTGAGGCTTTGGGTTTGGCAACGCCCTACATCATAACACTGCAACATGATTGGTCAACACATGGTGGGTTGATTTGAACAGTTGAGGTAAGAGCTGATCAAAATTAATTTTCATGTGTTTGTGAACACACAAATACTGAATAGTTATTTTTGCTCCTCTAGCTCTTTCACATGTTTTATTTTCCTTTCCCCTTCAAGCTTGGATGGAACTCCTTAGGTTCTAGATTAGCTATCTACAGCATCTACACAAAGAACAGGCTTTCAGCGACTGTCTTAACTAAGAGGTAGAGACGAACCCTCCAGGCAGTATGTGACGTGCGTGGGCAGAGCGCGGCTCTTTTCACAGCCCATGTTTACCACAGCAGACAAGATTTGTTTAGTAATGCAGTATCATCAATTTGTCTCCTTAGAGCCTGGTAACATAAGCAAGAGATAAAATAAATATATACAGGTAAGGGTATAAAGACCACTGTTAATGCATTTCTAGATGTGTTTCGTTCCGTTGCTTTAGCTAAAAGTTGATGCTTTTTCTCTCTCTACCACACCCTACCCCTGTCTGCCCTGCTTCAGCTGTGTCTTATCCTCTTTTGGAGCTTCTTTTTACATACCTTCTAGAACTGTGAATTATGGATCTGTTCAGCTGGTCTATCAATTGATCAAATTTACTTTTGAGAGAAGGACAGAGTAAGGGGAACCCTCCTGTCCAGATGGGACGTTTTTCTTTGGACACACAATGGATTCATGAGAGTTAGACTGAGATGTTAATTCAGACGTGACATGGTATAATCTTTGAGAAAGTTGTAGGCTTGGGTATGGTTGAAGGTACAATCATTTTTCTAATTGGATTCACCATAGTGAGGCACCAGCAGTCAGCCTCACCTAAACAATCTGCTCCTATTTGTAATCTGGCTCAATCTCAACTCCCCAGGATATTATATAAACATGACCCTCTGCTCCTTCTGTCGCCTCTCTTCAATGTTGAGGTCTGTGAACCTGGTTTGTGCGTATCCCGTTGATGAACATTACGTTACATTACATCATACTGGCCCCAGGAACAGTACTTTATGCACTTGTCTTGCACAAACTTAGCACATACCCACACATTCTCACAGATATAAATGTATGCACGCTTTAAAAACCAACCTCTAACCTCCATCCCTGCAAGATGTTGAGTTGTGTCTGTGTTGCATCTTGTTCTTAGTTTTTTGTTTTTTGTTTTTGCAATCTCAGACTTCACCCTCTTAGGATAAAGTGTGAAATATGTTTTGTCCTTTTACTGCTGTCACCCACTGTGATCATTTTTTTTGTCCCCCCATTGCCTTTGTTTGTAGCTGTGTTGTCTGTGTTTTGTCTTTTTCTGGATGGGCTGAACTGAAACTAGACTGCTGCTTGAGGATGGGTAACAAATAAAGATTTTTTGAGTGTTTAAATAATGTTGAAATCAGACAAAGATGAAATAGAAAAGAAAATTATGTGTCTTTATTTCATTTACATAGACAAACATTTTTACAATTAAAGTTAACTCATGAATTTTCTAGTTTCTATATTTTACACATAGGAATTTCTTTGATCCAAATCGGCTAAAGATGCATTGATGACTAATAAGAATTATTATTATTTTCATTATTATTCATTATCATTATGAATAAAATCCCCACATAGTTATCCTTTTAGCAGTCTAATCCACCCACTTCAGAATAACCTTTGAAGCCTTTAAAGCTTTTTATGTTGAATGAAAAGGCATCCGTGTTACGGTTTTCTGGCTTTTGATTAATTCCATATGCCTGGCAAGAATGTTTTAACTATTATACATTTTGGACAGGTCTCCCCTCTCCTTTTCTGTAGTTTTTTTTGTTTTTTTTTTGGGTAAGCATAAGGTTCATTAAACTTCAGTATAACCATTGCCACGGACTAATTTGTGCACCGTAATAATCTGTTGAAACACCATGAATACTTTGCCACCCGCCATTTTCTGATCTGATGCATGCAGTTGTATGCATGACCTTTAGCTCTTTGATTTTTCTCTCTCCTACACAATAAATAATATTACGTGGTTGTTTCCTATATTTTGCCTGAAATAAAAGTCAAATGAAGTTGATGTCCTCAAATCACTGGCTGAAAATTTGTTAAAATAAAATGAGAACCTTTAAAGTCTGCCAGTCACTAAAAGGCAGACTTAACTGCTATGTATCTAATCTGGAATTTAAATAAGCTAAAATGAGCTTAAGTTCTATTTAGATGTGGGTTTATTTAGAAAGAGACATTTTACTAAAAATATATATTTTTTCCTTACCTAAGGGACAATGTTATTTTTTCATGTCAGTGTTTCTTTAACCTTTAAATCAAACCAACCTCAGTCTGAAGACAGAAATTTGATGTGGTTTATTTTGACTGTGCTTCTTTCAGCTCAAGCTACAAAGATTTTCCTCTTTTATTTCTATTTAAACTCTTCATTGAAGAGACATCAAATTCAAATATGACTGATAAATACAATTTATATAAAAAGAAACATATATATATATGAAATAATAAAAAAAGAACAACACACTTGTATTATCATTTAGACTTCTTTGCATTGCAAAATCCCAAACCTCAACATTTGTATCTTAATTTTTGCTCTATGGTGCTTTAATGTGCCAAAAGACAAATCAGATATTTAAACTGCAAAAGTGAATTAAGATGAACATTTCTTCTGTCTCTTCTGTCATTAATCTGTTCTACTTGGCTAGAATATGTTTGACTGTCCCTCAGCTAAACAAAAGTATTATATTTAAATATCTGCCAGGTTTCACTGGCATCTCTTAAATACAATAAAATGTTAGGTTACAATAAGAATAATTCTCATTTATTTAAAACAAGATGTCAACATTGTAATGCATCGTTTTAAATACCGTACATAAGATTACTTATCTATATTGGTGGTAGAAGGCCTCTTTGCCATCACCCTAATCACCCTTTGCAGATTCTCTATTAGATTCAGGTTGGAACACTCCAAAACATCATCACCTTAAATGTAGCTAATCCGTACATCTAAAGGTAAATCTTCCAGAAATAAAAATTATTTTGGGCTTAGGTAAAGGTTGTAGAGCTTTTATAATAAAACAAGCCCCTCTGTGTTTGATAGGAAATGGAAAGTACCATTGGCACCATCAATGTTTGAGCCTTGAATATAGAAAGAAAGCAGGATGTGAAAATTGTGACTGTTTGTATAAAAAAAACATACTGACCTTTGTGGTTTCTCCAGAGGCAGTGCAACATCAGCATGATCAACAACAGAAAGCAGACCACAACAGGAAGTAGTATGTGTGCGAGGGGAGCAGTAGGCGTTTTAGGACTGCGTTCTTTAAAATACAAAGACAGCGGGTTAGCTGGCCTAGATAAAAACATAATATGGACAGCTTTCTGGGTGATAAGCCACACGCTAACTTAAAACACAGAACATAAGAACTGATCACGCACTGTCTAAGGAGGGATATTATTCCAATTTAGACAAGATAAATCCAACTATTCTCTCATATTCCGCTGATCTAATATAGACGTAAAACCAAATTATAACGGATGTAACGTCAAGACTTTTTATAAACAGCTCAAATGAGGGTTAAACAGAGTCAATCTACGTCCAAATGAAATTCAGATCAATCAGATTCAGACCAGTTTAATCCAATTAACTGTTTTCTGTTATTTATTTGAAATATAAAATGTTTTGAAATAAGGAAACATTAGATAAATTGTTTTATAAGGAATGTGTGAGATATAAATAAATAATTGACCATAGATTGATTAGATTAAAAAATGTAAAAGTTGTATGGAAATAATTTTTGTGGCACAATAAAATGAAAATGCAAACAGAAATAGAGGAAACTTTAGGACTTCCTGAGCATCTTTTTCTTACCTCTGACAGCCAACCAGCTTTCTGGTGATTCTCCGACTCCAGAGACGTTACATTTGTAGAGTCCCTCATCAGATTTAGAGACACTTTGGATGTTAAAGGTTCCTGTAGAGCTGTTCCCAATGAGCACCCCGTTTCTATAGAAACGAGTTAGATTGGAGAAAGACTTCTCGGCTCTGCAGTGAAGATTCACTTCGTCTCCTTCACTGACTGGATGTTCAGGACTCTCCAGGATCAATGATCCAGCTGAGAAAAACAACATAAACAGACAGAAACCCACATTTATAACTATGTCATTATTAGCCTATAATCTCTGAACCCAGATGAACTCTAACAGGATTCATAAACAATCAAGGATTGGTCTTTAATCTTATACTAGCTGCTTGTTTCTCTATAAAATCCTTAGTGACGAACAAGACCACATGATAAAAGTTTAGAGTTTGATCAATCCCTATTTAACAAACAAAAACATTACATGGATTCTATTTTGTAATTACAAACAGGAGAGAAAACAGCCTCATGTAAACATTATACGTATAGTTTAGAATCAACTAAGCAGAGGTGGAAAGTAACGAAATACATTTACCGGTACTCAAGTTACTGTATTGAGTAGGTTTTTTGTGTATTTTGTATTTTTAAAGTAGTTTTTAAAATCGTTAATTTAAATTTTACTTGATTACGTTTTGAGTGAAGTATTGTATTTCGTTACATTACAAATCACATCCCTTACTGAGTAAAAAAAAACTTTGGAAAACCGAAAGGAAGACAAAAAATCGGGCCGGGAAGCACTACAGCGACTGACGAGATCAGCATGTAGATCTAGGCTACCAGGCGCCACGTCCTTCTGTAGGAGATTAGGAACGAGATGGAGGTGGATCAGGAGAGCGACGACGGTTCAGAGAACGTTTCACTAGAAATGCTAGCTGAAACATCGAATTCTGCTGCCCAAAACGACGAAAATCCTTGGTCTTAAATGGGTCTTAAATGTCATGTGTGACATGTGTTATCTTGTCATTACATGTGTATACATTTGTATAGATTTTTCTTTAATTAAAAACTAAATAGTTTAGGATTTATGACTCCTTGTCCTATTTTCACTACATGGGAGAGATCCCCTGCCCCGTTCAACAGTTTTTTTTTTTAAATGTAACTAAGTAACTACATTTTAAATTAGCTACTTATTACTTTCACTTGAGTATTTTTTCTGATGGATAATTTCACTTGTACTTGAGTAGTATTTCATCCAAGTATTGGCACTTTTACTTGAGTATGATATTTTAGTACTTTTTCCACCTCTGCAACTAAGACAATGGTTATCTTCATGCAAATGTTTTATTTTTAGATTTTTTTATTGTAAATTTTTGTCCTCTGATTAGCAGCAGAAATAGTCATGACAATGCTAAAAAGATCGAACAGGATACAGACTATGTTCTCTTATCTTGAAGTTAATGGGACAACCTCAGACTTCAATAAAGTCTTAGAAACCACACCAAACGTTTAAAATCTTAAACCTAGTTGATGAAGCTCACACCTTTTCTGTTGTTTAACTACATCCTGTTATCTGCTTTTCTCTCCCGTAGACCACAAACAGGTCAGCTCTCCTCAGACTGAATCAGACTCAATAAAAAAATGATTTCAGATCATCTTCTGCTCTGTTTTAACTCACCTGTTACAGTGATGTTGACTTCATTGCTGCGTTCTCCTGCTTCTGATTCACACCAGTAAACTCCTGAGTCTAATTCATATAGATTATCAATGAAACATGTAGAGTTATTTCTTTCATTTGAATAGGATGGACAGTGTCCATGTATGTTTTTTGAAGTGTTTCTTCTGACTCTCCACTCAGTAGAGTTCCCCCCACAGCTCAGAGTAACAGACTCATACTTAAAGAACTGGGATCTGCTGGGAAGGACGCTCAGACAAGCTGCAAAAAGGAGAAAAACGTAAAGTAAGGAAATATTCTTTATAATCTCTTTACAGATCAAAATTTAACTACAAAGCAATAAAGCTCTGTCTGGTTATTTTCCCTTCAGAGTTTTTTATATTAATCAAATGTTGAATAACATTCATAACAGAGAGATGAGTCTGCAGTGATGCTGTCTGTCAATCACCACAGTAAGGAAGTAGAGTTGATGCAGCTGCAGCGAAGTGCTGGTTACAACAATAGCAGCTCAGCAGATATATAATCTATTAGACCTTTAATAGATACTAATAGAGTCCAATAGAAGAACATTAAAGTAGGAAATAAATTGATGTGTAAGAACAATAAAGATTCCCCAATGAGAAAAGTCATTTTTGAGAAGCACTTTCCTTTGGAAAGACATTTAGGTTTTTCATTCACTTAATCCATTATAACAAATAATTCAGATCTTTACGTTAGTATAAGATTATCTAGGATTATTTCTGGATGAAAGATTCATAACCTAGAAGTAAGAATCGTTAAAATAAAAGAGGAAAAAAAGGCCATCTTTTACTCACCAACAACAGCACAGAGCACTGTTATCTCCATCCTGGGCTGATGTACTTTAGAGACGCTTTACTTATGAGGGGTGTTCATCACACCTCTGAAAATTTTGTCAAAGACACCACAGCTTCCTGCTAACATTATAATCTCAAGGTTCAAATCAGTAAACAGAGAGTTTGTGCTAGAGCTTAGAGAAGAAAACCCCTTAAGCGCAGAAAAGGTCAAACTTGTTGGTCCCCCAGAGTCTGCAGGAAGAAGAAAGTGATGGTTTCATCACTGCAGCCTCTGATGCTTTGACACAAAATGTAATATTAACTTGAGGTCATCAACAGCTTCATGTAGAGGTGGCATTTCCTCACTGAGATGTTGTTCAGGTTCTATAAAAGTTAACATGTTAATCCTGAGGATCATTTTATTGGTTTTAAATACATTAAAATCCATTAGAAAGCATTTAAATTTATTGATGCATAATGTGCATTGCTGCTTTGTATCTCAAATGCCTTTTCGTAGCATGAGCAATCCAGTTATTCTGCACAGCTTTCTGCTGAATTTGAATTGGACTCATATGGCCAACAACAAAACATGAAGCTGACATAAATAAAGACATTAGAAACCAACTACAATACTGCATAATAGGAAATTATTGACTGCAGTTATTCAAATCGAGCTCATAGCGTTTCCCAGAACAGGTGCTGATTCAAGCTATTTAGTACTGATAAATTTAGATGATTATGAACAAAAACAGTCTTAGTATTCAGAAGATAAAATATGCCATTGAACTAACAAAGAATGGTTATAAGTTTTCTGAGAAGTATCACTATCTTCTGTACAGTACATGCATGCTTGGTCTGGGTTTCTGTGCATGACTTCCTGTATTGATACTGGGTGGCAGAGATGTGATCAGCTGTGGCTCTGCTTCCTGAGGCATTCAGGAAACACAGGATGCTTGCCAAGCAATGCTAGCTGAGATTAATGTTTCGTAAAGATATAATGTAAAATAAAATAAAAGTAAAGATTTAATGAGTATTCCAGTTATTAAAACAATAATGAAAGAAGTCAAGATTACAAAGTTCTCTTGGACTTGGAGACCAACATTAATGGTACATGGTCTATTTTTAAGAAGCACAGGGACCCTAAAGTGCTCTGTGTTACATTCAGTGATTCTCACGAACATCCGTGGTGGTAAACTTCCCTATAGCCACAGCTACCCTGAGGCAGACTGAGAAGCAAGGCTGCCCCCAGGCCTTCTGACCACCAAAAGCAGGAAAGTCTGGTGAAGTGTCATCTCCAAAGTCACAATAAAAGAGATGGACAGAACAGCGGCACAGACTGCTACTGTTAGGTTCAAAAATGTAGGTTTGTAAAAGAAGGACTGAAAACACAGTAAGGGATTTTCAACAACAGCTTCTGCAGGAGAGGAAAGAGCCCAACCCAACTTTCAACTCTTTCTCCGACCCCCCTCCTGCAGTCGTCTTTTATTAACAGAACATAACACATGGTTACAAAATAGAGTATTGTTCTGACAGGACAGTTGATCAGGTCATGAGACAGGATGCTCTCCTCTTGACTGAATCACAAGACAGAGTGAAGCATCTCCTTCCTACAATGTTTCATATGAACACATCATTGAATAAACCTAACAGCTACCTCCTGAGGTGCTGTCACCTTTTCCAGGTTTGGGAGTTCTCTACTTTTATCTAAGTAATTTTTTCCAAATTGTTGGTTCTGCAGCTGCAAAGGAAGAATTATCAATGTTTAAATATGGTGGGAATAAAGTTTAGTCACATAAAGAGGAGGTGTGTCATGATGGCGTTATAGACAACCAATAAAATCTTTAAATGTATGCTGTGTCAAAAAGAAAAGCTAATTAAATTAGACTATTTTAATGCACATTGAGGGTAGCCAGTTGAGGTGGATCGTGCATCTGGTTAGGATGCCTCCCGGACGCCTCCCTGGTGAGGTGTTCCAGGCACTTCCCTCCAGGAGGAGGCCCAGGGGGAGACCCAGGACATGCTGAAGGGACTGTGGTTCTTGGCTGGCCTGGGAGCGCCTTGGGATCCCCCCGGAAGAGCTGGCCCAAGTGGCTGGGGAGAGGGACTTCAAGGCCTCCCTACTGAAGCTGCTAACCTCATGATCAGACCCCAGATAAGCGGAAGAAGATGTATGGATGCACTATGTCCCTCATGCAATAAGTTCAGAAACAGTATTTTGTACCAGCAATAAGCAAAGGGACTGTATTTAAAGCTACAGTGTGTAACTTTTAGCGACATCTAGCGGTCAGACTGCAGACTGCAGCAACATGAACATCTCCCCCCCACCGCTTCTCCCCCCCAACAGTACGGTGAGCGTTACGGGACAAAATGTCTTCCACGACGTCCGCATCACCTACCTTCTCAAGTGATGAGGTTTGTTTACATAGATAATTTTACAGATAGTATTTCATTAGTCTGTGTAGGGTATAGATTTCATGTAGACTTAAGATAATAAATATACCCGTTATTTTTTCTACATCGTTGTGACGTTTTGGCGATCTCGCAATCGCTAGTTTGTTGGCTCTGCGCTGCCGTAGCGCAAAGATGTCTGCTTCCATGGCTGCGAGACCCGCTCCTGTGTAATTATAAATAACGAATTCTAAGGCAACGCAAATATTAAGGTTAAGAGGCTGAGTTCGTAGACGATGATAAATAACATAGTTATGTATAATATATTACATTTCTGACTGTATATCCCTGTAATTATTACACACTGTAGCTTTAAGATGCAGTTGTTATTCATCAAATGAAATATCAATTTTACTCCCATTAATATAATACAGAGTAATTGAGATTTCTATGTTATGATTTTTATGGTATGACAGTGAAAATAAATATGATTTTAGGAAGGGATCATTTAAAGTGGCCTTATAATCAATTAGAGTAGTACAGACCTAGAATATAGCATGGAGGAACTATAAATACAAGTGTGGCTGAGGCTAAAGAGTGGCCATTTATCTGCACAGAGAACATCTCTGTGTTCGATATGACTGGAGTCCCTCAACAATAGACCCTATAATGCTGGTTCTCAACACCAGCTGGTATTTTACCACTTTAAAAGCATTAGGAGTCAACATAAGAAGCATAATCAGGGACATTTCCTGAGTTAGTCCTGAATAACACAGTAAAAACTTTTAAAAGAGCTCGGAATTATTTAAATATTCCAAAAGTGTTGAGAAATGAAAATACCAAATGAGACTGAAAAAAAAAAAAACAAAATCAGAAGATTTTCACCATAAGTTTCAGCAGACAGAGAAATGTTGCTTATCCTAAATGAACTAAAAAGGGAATTGGAATCAGCTTGATTAGATATAAAGAGTAAAAATAATAATTTTTTTCAGTGTCTAGAACCTTCTGGTTTCGGGAGTTGAGGGTACAGCTAGAGTATTAGTTTGTCCTACAACACCAGCTAGTTATTAACCAACAGAATACAGGGCTATTTCATTCTTGCTGAGAAAGTCAAAATTAACCAAATGTGACACAACCACCTCAGCACACTTTTGATTGAAATCTTTGTGCTGATATACCTGATATACTCATTTGAAAAACGGTGTATAGTCTTCTGCAAAAACTTCTACGATGTAACTGATTTGTTACCAGTTTGACTTTAGTGCATGTTCACATGAAAAAAAAAAAACATCTACCATCAGATAAATATTCAGCCTTTTGTCTCCCTATCAGCTCTTTCTGTCTGTCAGCATGTTAACAGGATTTTATCGCTGAACATAAGTTCCTTATTCTTGGTGTTATTTATCTGCCTCATATGGGCATCAAAGTCGTAGGGAAATCATATTTAAATGTCAAATCATTCTGGTTTAAACAGGTATTTAAATGTATTCTTTATCAGACGATATTGTCCCAAAATTTAGAACATTTCTATAAAAAAAAAAAAAAAACATCTTAAAATCTGTGTCCCCCCCACACATTATCTTATGCAGGCCAGTTAGTTATACATTAGCCTGTACGCCTAAATTCGGCCAATTATATATCAAAGATCAGCTGTCAATCACATTTTTTTGGTCATAGATTTTTGATTCATATGTCGCAGCTAATATACGCTAGGGCTGGGCGATAATTCAATAACGATATATATCGATCGATAGACGTGTGGCGCAATAGAAAAAAGAGAGTCGATAAAAGTTCGATAAAGAAACGCAGTTTTCCTTCCTTCTCATTGTAGCCTAGCATGTAGGTTTATGCTAGTCATTACTTCCTCCCAACCAATCGCAATTGCGGACCCAGGCACGCCGTCACCAAGCGCCGCCCTCTCACACCACAACACAGAGAATATGAAGATGTTGCAGCAAGGAGAGGCGGAGGAAATTGTTCCAAAGAAGGGTTTTTGTAGTTCGCCAGTTTGGCAGTATTTCGGTCATGGCAAGTCGGACAAAAAACAAACCACAGTCATCTGTAAAATGTGTAGGGAACCAGTGAAAACTAAGTCTGATAACGCAACCAACTTTTTTTTAATCATCTCAGCCGCTCACAGCCGCAGGAGTACGAGCTGTGTAGGCCCCAACGCGGCTCTCCTCCGAGGAATCTTCGGGAATTTCGGGAAAATATATATATATTTTCAGTTCTGGGCAGTTTCCCACGTAGTTCCAACAATTGAGAGAAAAATGCTGAGGGGCCAGAAACTTCAAAGTAATAACTCAGGTTAAAGCAGGAATGCGGGTGGCGGCCAGGGAGGTGGGTGGGTCCATTTATTTATTTGTTATATTTATTTTGGTCACTTTTCTGGTCACTTTAGTTTATTCTTTGTCAGTATTTAATAACAAAACTCAGGTCTCTTAAGTTATTTTTCTTTAAAACAATTTTGTTATGGTTAAAAAAGTTGGTTAAATAAAGATTTAATTAGAAGTCTGTGTTTGTGTTCTTTGTTATAATGAAATCATTTAGCAATATCATAAAATGTCCAGGCAGAGCTGCACATAAAATATGGTTTAAAATTTTTTCAATAATTATCGATATCGATCAATATGCATTTTTTTTTATCGATAAGCTTTTTTTCTATATCGCCCAGCCCTAATATACGCAACGGTTGAAATAAGAAATCAAAAATCCTTTCCTTTCCCATTGAGCTCCGTCCCAGTGTTCACGGGGATGGACGTCT